GACATATAAAAATTAAAATGTTTTTATAATTTATATAATATGTAGACATATAAAAATTATATACATAACCATTATTAAAAAATATATATTTTTACAAATAATAAAAAAATTATATTATTTTTATTAAATATGATATATACTAACATAAAATAAAAGCAATAATATTTAAATTGACATCTTCTATGTTAAATATCAAATTACACATGGTGTCGTATTATTCTTATTATTTAATTAAAAATATTATATCACTTATACTTTTAAAACTATTTATTTTGTAAATTAAATACAAGAATTTTCTGTTATTTCTCTTTGTAAACTAATTTTAAAGAAAAATATAGCACATAGCATATTTTTTTGTTCTATGACATAAAAGTAGTTGGTACATTTTTGGATTTTAGCTTTCACATTAATATATTCTTCTAGACAAGATTATGAATAATGTGGGGTTTATAATAAAATAAAATATCTCATAATCCTACTTTAAGCATAGATTCATAAATATTTCAAATTTTGGAAATCATAGAGATTACAATTAACCTCAAATTTTAATAATAAAAAAATTATATTATTTTTATTAAACATCTAGTATTTGTATTATTAAATTTTTTTCTTTTTAAAAAATGTTATTATATTTGGTTATTGACTTATTCAAATATCAAATATTTCTTTAGTAGCTTTATAACTTTATAAGTCATATTTAATACCACCATACACATTTTATTTTTACTTATAATAATATTTTTAAAATAATTTGCATATACATGTTTATAGATTATAGATAATATTATGTATTGATAGGAAGTATAAAATTCTAGATAAAAATGTACAAAGATATTCCAACATGACAGCTATAATAACTGATATATAATACTAATCTTTGTACTATATTGATCAATATTTATTAATAACAATAACTATTACGAATTATTAGTTATTTGACTATTCTAATAACTAAAAATTATCCATATATTCCTAGTTATATTTTAGAATAATATAATAAATAATTATATAAAATTAATAATAAACCAAAAATAATAATAGTTGTGTTTGTATAAAATATATATATATATATATATATATTGCACCCTTAGATTATTTATTCACTTTATAATGAAATATTATTTTATCTATCCAAATTCAAGATCATGTCCTATGAAGAATAATTTTTAAAATTATTAATGGCAGACAATGTTGATAACTATCAGTGGCACAAGTGCAAAACAAATCAAAATATTAATAAATATTTCATACAAAAGAAGAGCCAACAACATAAAAATGACATAATCTATGTCTATTAAATTGCACATTAATTCATATAATTAAATAAATACAATGCAATTATTATAATTAAAATAAAGATGGTATTTTTGTTTAAAGTGATAATATAATTATTGAACAAAAAGCTTATAGTGTGAAAGAAAATATTTATAATATTTTGCACCTATACAAAAAAAATGTGTGTGTGTGTGTATATATAGAGAGAGAGAGAGAAAAGGAATTATTAATGCTACATCTCCAATTGATATTGCTACACCCCAAATGACCTCTACACAACTTAAATTGACTAAACAGAGTGCTTATATGCTTAGGGCAGATTTGGAAACCTTATATTTAACCTCAATATTGGCTACCAAAAATGTAAAAATGCAAAAAACCTCAATAGAATAAATTAAAAAATAAGTTTTTTGCATTTTTGGAAGTTTTTTTTTTTTTTTTTCAAAAATGAATTAAAGAGTTGTTGAGGTAAATATTTTTATAAAAAAAATAATCTTGAAACCAATTTATTTATAAAATATTCATTGTCTCCCTCTCAACCACCTCCTTTTCTTAAAGCAAAAAAAGCAAAAAATGCACAAAATAAAGAGACATATTGTTAGCTAGTTGTCTACAAAGAGGTCATGTGAGGTGTAGCAATATCAATTGAGAATGTAGTATTAATGATTATATATATATATATATATATATATATGTGTGTGTGTGTGTGTGTATATCAATACTTAAAAAATAAAATAAAATAATAAAAAAATCAAGATTTAAAAGTAAAAGCTTTGAGTTCAAAAAAATTAGAAAAATGTTAGGTAGACACTCATTTGTGCTGTGCACCCTCTACATATATACAAATAAAACTCTTATTTACACCAAAAAGAAAATTGGAAAAAACTATAATAGGAGATTCTCTAAATAAAATTAATAATATTTTTAAATTAATAAAATAATTACATCTAATATTTTATAAATATCTTCAGATTTTAATATAAAATAAAAGTGTCATAAGTTATTGCATAGAAATCTTTTACTGTAAATTTATCCTAAAACGTTTTAGTGTAAAGAAAAATTTATTGTGTTTAGGTAGGTATGTGCGATCTTCAGGGTGTCAATGCATTACAAGAGGGTGTCCACCTATTGGTTCTCTATTTTTATAGTATAATAATATAAAAGGAAAAAATGGTAAGAACATATATTTTTTAAAATGATTCTTATAAGTTATATTTATATAAATGATATTTTATTCTTTAAAAATAAAATCCATTTCTTTATTTCTATGCAAAATAGAATTACTTAAGGATCACTGGTCATCTTTCAATAATACATAAAGAATGTTGTTACATAAATTGAATATCCTTCAAGAAAAATCCAAAATCTACCTATGTTTTAGTTCATTTGATTTTTTCAAAATTTGAACAGTAAAAGGATTTATTGAAATATTTAATTTTATAAAACTATGAATAAATTATTTTTTTAGAAATTTATAATTTTAATTTACTACAGTGCATGAGTAAGTTTTTTTTCCGTTTATCCTTTTTTAAGAAGTATGTCTGATTACGAAAAAAATATTACATAAAATAGCAGTCAATCTTCCAGCACATTATTTAAAAGTAATTAATAGATAAAGTTAATGTTTTATTTTATTCTATCAATCAAAATAAAAAATGGAATATATATATATATATATACATTAAATATAAAAATTGTAATAACATATAACATATACCTATATGTTATTTAAACTTGCATCACATGAACATTCAAGTATATGGGAAAGGAAAACAAGGTTTTGTTGAAGAATGTGGTTTTGATATTTTTAGAATTAACCAATGTTTACATGCATGCAACGAAATATTTGAGATTTGAAGCTTCTAGAATAGATATAATCCAAGAAAAATTGAAGCTAAGATAAATGAATAAGCTCTAAAATTAAAATATTTTAATGCATCAAAGTCGACACATGCTAGCAGCAGCAAACATGTGTCTAGTTACATTTCATACAATAATAAAACATATGTTAAAGAGCATCAAGAACTTTCATTCAAATGAACGCAATGCAAATATGAAATAAAAAAAATCTTTTGATGAAAGAATTGATGGCACAAACAATCCACATGTTTGTCTATTTGTTTTATTTTAATATGTTATAAAAGTAAGATATTGTCATGGCCTATAAAAGTATTGAAGTCAACAAGGACTCAACATATGGATAGAAAAGGTGATGTGGAGTGTTGACACTATAAAAGTATTAATGATCCAACATATTGATGGAGGAGTGATGTGAATTCTTGAGTTTACATGTTTAGAAATATTCCACCTTTAGGATTAGGTCATAAAAAGATGATGGATAGAATTAAACATTTATTGCATGATGGCCATTCTAAATCCCATCTCTTCAATAAGACAACTGTTTAACTCTCAAACCAGAAATATCATGAACAACCCACTTAGTCATTTAGAATTGTAATTTTTTTAATAGTTGGGTCAACTATCATAAAAGTTTGTCCATTGCAGTGGAAAAGTAAGGACTAGAAATATGTTGTTGAGAGAAATTATGTGTATTCTTAGTGTTTTGACATGTGGGCTTCATTGAAGAGAGTGAGGATCTAGAAGGATTCATGAAGATGGTTGTGTATATAACAAAGGTGATACAAATAATGTGGTATAACTAAAGACATTACTAAAGAAAATAAAAGATTTTCTTGGAGTTATTTGCAAATAAAAGATTTTCTTGGAGATATCTTTATTTTCTTGGAGTTATTTTTCTTTCGGATATCTTTAATGTGTTATTATTAGAAATATCTTTAATTATTTTCCATTGTCTTTTTGAAATTTAACCCATTAATTTGTTAATATTTTTTTAAAATTACTCTATTACAAAGATGATTATTCTTATCCCTTCTCAAAAACCACAATTATTAAGGAATTCACAACAGATTATAGAGATAACAATTAAAAATAGTTGTACATTTTACAATATTTATATGAAATTATTGTAACTATATTTCATAAATAAATAAATTTATTCTTATATACATATATATATATATATATATATATCAATCCTTTAATGCCGCCTTTTATATTATTTTAGTATTATTTATGTATTTAATGGCACAAATAGTTTAGTTTATTCATAAAATTTCATGTTAAATTTCAAATAAAAAATCGTAACAATTTAAAAAAAGTAGTAAGTAATATTTGAAAACATTACCAAATAAAAAACTATAAAAAACTTTCAAAAATAAAATATTTACTAAAAACAATTGCAAAAATTTGCAATTTAATGAATAAATGTAAGTATGAATAAACATATATATATATATATATATATATATATCAATTTTAAGTGTAATTACACATGCTCATTCTATGGTTCATTATCCACAATTATAGTGTACATTATCCACACCATCAAAAAATCACATCAGTAATGTAGTGTTCACTGCGAACACGTTTTGACAAGTGGACCAAAACAACAGGCAAATCCAAGTCATCGTCCGTCCGGTGGTTGCCGTCCGGAAACTCCGTCCCTGGCTCAGGTCCCCCACGTCGAGATGTGCCCCAAATTAAAGATATCCGAAAGAAAAAAACGAAAACGAAAAAGAAAAGGCACCAAGGAAAGAAAAAGGCAAAGGGAGAAAAGGACGGGACGGGTGAGAAGAGGAGGAGGACGGGTGGGCCGGGATTTGGGGGGGGGGATGAGGCGTCGTCGCGATGTGGGATTCAATTTTTTCCGCTTTAAGAGTGTGTTGGAGTTGCTTGCTCTGCTCCGATTTGCAGTTGCAGCGATCATTCTGAGATAGATGAGCAGATGAGATAGGGGGGCTCACCCTTCGATGAAATCTCTGTTCACTCTCATCTCCATTGCTGCTGCTTTGTTGCCTCTCTCGCACTCTCTCTACCTGTTGAACCGCTGAGCCGTTTCATCGCACTGCTTCTCTCCCTTCGTCTCTCATAGTGTTTGCTAAGTCTGTTTGGTCGCTGGCTTGGTTGCTGTTCCATTGCCAGGACGTGGTTTTCTTGAGGTTTCGAGGATTTTGTTGAGTTGTGTGGTGTGCTGGGACATAGATTTACGACGTGTTTCGTGAGTACTGAATAGTTTTTTTTTTTGTTTTTCATAATTTTCTTGTTGAGGCTCTATTTTTGGGGATTCAGGAGTGGGGAGGGTGTTGTTGGAGTGGTGGGTAGTGCGTGAAGGGGGAGGTTGAAGACGTAGACGCAGAGATGGGGTCAGCGGTGGTCGCCCAGGGCTCTCAGTGTGTAGGTTTGATAGCACCGACGACGAGTGTTGCGCATGTAAGCAGTGCGAATTCGATCAAAAGGGCTGGGCGGACGCTACTTCGCACCCAATTGTATGGTATGCGGTCCGGGGCTTTCGGCGTCGTGGGCCGGGTGCGGTTCTCGTTCAGGATTTCCACCTCAACCTCGGTGTTACGCATTAGGGCCCGTGTCATTAACGACGTTGAGGAGAAATCCTTGGAGACCATTGCGGATAATTTGAAGTTTGATTTCAATGTGTACATGAAATCCAAAGCTCAGGCTGTCAATGTGGCCCTCGACAAGGCGGTGCCAATGCAATACCCGGAGAAGATTCGAGAGGCCATGCGGTATTCCTTGTTAGCTGGGGGGAAGAGAGTACGACCCGCCCTGTGCATTGCGGCGTGTGAGCTTGTGGGAGGAAATGAGGAAATGTCAATGCCAGCCGCTTGTGCTATGGAGATGGTTCACACCATGTCCCTCATTCATGACGACCTTCCTTGCATGGATAACGACGATTTACGGAGAGGAAAACCCACGAATCACAAGGTATTACTTATGCTTGGTTAACGGTAGCACCACCCTGGCGTGTTTGGCTGGCAGCACTCGTGAATTTGGAGCCGGGATGAAGTGTCTTGAAATGAAGTGATATTGCTGACTTCTGAGGGACGACAGAATACCTCTCCGGAGTAGTCGAGAAATTTTCATTCACTTCCTTCCGGGTTTGCTGCTAGACATGTTCTGCTCTGAAACGTTGTTATTCGCCAATTTTGGCATTCACTAAACTCGTCGGTAATCGGAACATTTCGATACTGACGACGAAGAAAATTTTGTGTTGTCCAGGTATTTGGAGAGGATACAGCTGTGCTTGCTGGAGACGCGCTGTTGACGTACGCCTTCGAACACATTGCACGCGATACAACAGGAGTGCCTGCGGATAGAGTTTTGAGAGTCATTGCTCATCTGGGGAAAGCCGTGGGTTCTGAGGGTTTGGTAGCCGGGCAGATTGTGGACATTGCATCCGAGGGAGACCCAACTGTCGGCTTGGAAACCCTTGAGTATGTTCACACACACAAGACTGCCGTTCTTCTGGAGTCCTCCGTTGTTTGCGGAGCCATCCTTGGTGGAGCTTCTGAGGACGAAATCAGCAGACTGAGCAAGTATGCTCGCAATGTGGGACTACTATTTCAAGTAAGAATCCCCGCACTGTTGCGCTTGATTTGCGGGATGCTTGGTTGATTGTATCCTATTATTGTAGCTCATCATCCACCCTTGTGTCGATTCGAGTTGCATATTTGGCATTTGTCAACCAAATTTGTGGTTGTACAGTACGGAATAGTCATCTCATTTGGCTTTAGTTTAAAATCATCATGTTGGGCTCGTCTCTATGTACATTACACCTTTTTGACATCACCCTGTTTTCTGTTCGAGATTCTGCACAGAACCCCCGATCGTGTCGTCGTTATTTAAGTGAGATTTGAGCAACTATTCTAATACAGTGGGGTGGTGTTTCTGGACAGGTCGTGGACGACATCCTCGATGTCACCAAGTCGTCGGCCGAGCTAGGGAAGACTGCTGGCAAAGATCTTTTGGCTGACAAAGCCACGTATCCAAAGCTGTTGGGGCTAGAGAAATCGAAAGCGTTCGCGGAGGAGTTGACACGGAAAGCCAAGGATCAACTCTCCGTGTTTGACCAACAAAAGGCAGCACCCTTACTTGGGCTCGCAGATTACATCGCTTACAGGCAGAACTAGTTACTTTCAATCCTCCAGGTGTAGTTCATATGTAGGCTAGTATATTGTCAAGGTTGAAGGTTTCACACGGGATGTAGGTAGACGAATTCTAAATTTGTGTCTGTATCATGGGCAACCTGTTCTTATCCCAGTTCCTGGGAGCTTGTGGTTAGTATTCTTTTCGTAGTTTGTAGACCTGGAATTCGAGATATGTTGAGTACATTTTCTGAGTGTCAATTCGAAACTCAGCCGTGCATCTCTTAGCAAGTTTCTTGCATTTTTCTCCGCTTTTAATCGTTTTGATGCTAAATGGTTCAGATAAGTAGGAGAGTGATAGAATTTCGCTACGCCTGCATTCGTTATGCTGCAGGTTCGAACTGAGAGAATCCGGAGCATTAAAAGCATATGCATTTCGATCACATGCACTGGATCTGGCCCCCCACAACCATGTTCTTTGCTGTAAGCCGTTGACTAAGATTGTAAGTTCCTTGGTTTTGTCAATTGTAACTCTCTTGTAACAGAGTTCAGTGCAGATGATCACACTACTTCGGACTTGATCAAACTGTTGCACAGTGAATCAAAGGTGATCCTCTTTCGGTGAATCGGGAAACTCTGGTCCCTCTAATTGCGGCCCCAGTAATGATGAGGCTCAGCTCCGAGTATTCCATGGAGCCGAGTGCATTGAAACCTGCGCGGAGAGACTCTGCAACTCAGGTGGAATTTAAAGGGTGAATTTTTGCTTTCCCAATGCGAAGAATCAGCTACACCGACTGGAAGTATATCTAAATTCAAGTACTCTGACACGCTACCAGCTCGTTCTAACCCAGATGGAATCAAAACTTGCTAAAAGTGCTAGCATCCAAGTGGTATTGCGTCGATTGACGGGCCCCATCAGAGAGGGAACAGAGCAGCTTAGCATCACAATCAGTGTCCATCACAATCAGTGTGATGCTGTTGGTGTCACAATGGAGGTACCAATATATTTTAACTTAATTTTATTTTGTGTTTGGGCATTGTAGGAATCTGGCTTTCCTGTTGTGCTCGTTACACTAGCAGTTCTTGAACGTTTCCTGTTCCATTAAACCTGGTTTTCAAAGGACCCCAAAAATACATGGGCTTTTGAAAAATAAAGCAATGGAAGAATATCCCTTTGAGCATAATGAGAATGGTATTAATATATGTAAGCTTTACAGTAAGCTTTAATAGATGGATATTACAGTAAGCTTTAATAGTTTCAATGGTACTAAATAAAAAAAATATAAAACAAGGTAACTTATTCAACAAAATAATTTATACAATAACAATATAGTTAAAATTGAATGGTAACATCTATACATAACATTGAGTTGTGAAATACTGATTTAGGTGTTATGGTAAAGAATGGCCTCTAGTATTCACATTTGTGAATATTGTACTTATTGGTTTTAAAATATAAAAATGTAAAGGATTGCATTTAACCAAGTCATTATATTCTAACCAAGGATATGCAAATTAATTAGTCAAATAAAAATAAAAATAAAAGCATATCAATGGTGTGATTCTCTTCTTTAATAGCCTCATAATTGCTTATTAGGTGTCAAAGTGGAATTAAAAGAATTTGGTGTTATCAAAAAAAGTAATCCATATACAATATAAATACATAATTTACTATTTATATGTTTATTATGTGAAATATATATATATATATATATATATATACATATTATAAATTAATTGAATGAGTTAATCATAATTAGATAAATTAAAAATAGATGGATCAAATTATAAATTTTAATTTTATAAAATATATATAAAAGTATAATCATATACAAAACTTAGTATGAAAGTTTTTGTTTATGATACATAGTTGAGCCATTATTAATATCAAAAGTAAAAAAATAAATGATGTTATATATAGATAAATAATTGGTTTAAAATCTATTTATTTAGAAATACTATTGTAGTATAATTAAAATAATAATAAAAATAACTATAATTTTTAGTATAATTGATGATAATTTTTTTTTTATTAAGTCATAACGAAATATGAAAATATTTTCGAAAATAATTTTAAAAGTTAAAAGATAAGATTTGGTTAAACTAATGAACATTTCATTTATTAAAATAGATAGAAAGTTATTAAGTTTTATAAGTTGTTTTATTTGAAGTAGAATAATATTTTTAATTTCTTTAAATTTATTTATTTCGTATCAAGTCTTATACTTCTAATTTTTGATCTAACATAGTACAATTCTATAAAAGACATAAAACTGATGTTGTTAGTAATATAAGTAGAAAGTTTAAATTAAGTTTTATGTAATTTTTTTAAAGCTATCCTAAGATGAAAAGATCTTGTAAGATTGAATGTACACATGTGTTTTGTTATGTAGACCAAGAAAATATACACAATTATTTTAGATTCCAAACAATATTTCTAGATATAAAATATTTGTTTTTTTGTTGGTAGAACTTAACACACAAAGAAGAAGTAAATGAATTATGCTATGTTGATAAGGGTAGTATTGAAAAGACTACATAAGCAAAGGTTATATTTAATAAATATTAAATACATATATGATATAATATTTTTTGTAAATAGTATCCAAAACAATGATAATAGCTATGTAATAGCTTACAAAATTCTGAACTATTTAAAAGTATAAGAACTAAAGGACTTAGAAGAAGCACAAGAAATAATAAGATAATTAGTTATGAAATTAAAAAAATGTCTATGTTCTTATAGCTTTGTGTTAGATGTTATAAAGAATATTATCTAACTTAAAGATGTGTTTATAAATTTTTTAAATACAAATAAAGGAAGCACATTGATTGCAATAATAATTTTTTTATTTTATTTTAAAGAAAGATAATTTTGTAAGGATTTATGATATTTATATCAATAAATTTAACAAAGATCCAAATCTCAGAATTTCTTTTGTAATAACCTCTATCTAAAAAAATAATATAGAAAGAAGTAAAATTAAAATTAAAATTAAAGATAATAGACATAAAGTTTAAGGCTTTGTTTTCAATGTCTTGATATACGGCTTTATCATGACTACCAAATATTAATGAGAGATCTCTTTCTTTGGTTGATAACAAATTGTCAAGACAAAAACAAGTTGAATTAGTACTACTGCATGTTTTGTTAGTACATTGTTACAAATTAGTTTATTAGAGAGAGTTAATCTCATCATCAACTTTTTCTTAGAAATAATCTTCAACCAAACTAATATAATTTAGAAATAAAATCTTACTTAAATCATATTTATAGTATAAAAAAGTAGATTTTTTATCAAAAAAATAAAAGGCTATTTCTTTTCTTATATTATTTGAGTTGGACTTATATGATATGTTTAATAATACACCTTGATATTGATTCTAAAAAAATTTGATATTTTGGCGTATTAAATTACAAATTATATACATAGATTAAATAAAAATTAATTTCTATTACTATTCTCTACCACTTTTTGACTTAAATTTTTGAGTCATGACTAAGATTGGGAGGTTTTAATTAAACATGTTTCTATTCTTCTAAGAAAAAAAACTTCAATTTACAATGATAAACTTTACACTCTTAGACAACTATTTACCTTAATAGCCTAAAGATTTTTTTTGTCTTTGATTACAACACCTACATACTAGAATTTTAACTAAATTTGATTCATATAATATGATAAATAATATACTTAAAATATCATTTATTAGATACAAATAAATTTTATTTTTATCTTAATAAACTCTATTAAGTCAGATCAACCAAACCAATCTTTTTAATTGGTCAAATATATATATATATATATATATATATATATATATATATATATTTAAAATTATATTTTTTATAAATAGAATATATAAAAAAATATGAAATAATATAAAGGTATAAATATATATATATATATATATATATATATAAAGTCGTCTTAGTAATTAATAGATATCATTGAAATCAAAATTTTAAATCAATGAAATATGAAAAATTATTATATACGTATACATTAAATTAATTATGTAAAAATATACATTATATAATAAATTTAAATAAATGGAATATTATTTTATAGTAATTCTTAAAATCTCTTAAATTTGGAAGAGTGATAATTTATTTCTCTTAGATATAGATTTTAATTAAGATTTTATTTAAGTGGAGGCACTTTAATTTTAGAATTATTTATAAAAATATTTAATAAAATAGATGAAAATAGCAAAATCAACTTGTATTTTTGTTTTCTTATGTAATTACTGTAAAATATTTCAATAAGAAATATAGACTTCTCTTCAGTTACTTAAACATTTTTTAATTTTTTAATTTTTAATTTTTTTTTTCAAATATCTTCATTTTTGTGTAAAACAAATTATATTGAATTTCAAAATAAACTCTCCTATCACTCTAACATTAATGTCTTCTACTAATTTTTGACCTTTCAAATTTTTTAACCTTATGCTTATCATATTCAAATTCGCTAATATTTTTTGAAATAAAAAAATATATATATTAGAACTTCTAACATCCATGTTCAAAACCATGATATATTTTTATTTTTTTAATATAGAATTTTTATAAAAAATTAGTAATAAAATAAACTAAGATAAAATTCAATATTTACATAAATCAACTTGTACAATTTACACAAGAATTTGAACTATTATAGTATATTTTAAGTCTTTAGAAATTTGAAAATTTACCTTGTATAAGTCATATGTAGAATTTGATTTTTAAATTTAATATTTTTAGAAATAAACCATTTTTTTAAAAATATCTTATAAAAATCTGTCTCTATTTTTTTAAAAAAAAATATTTTTGGATACAAAAATAGTATATTTTTTATTCATTATGTATATTTAACAAGTGATACTAGAAATAATTAAGTGCCTTTACAACCAACCAATTCTCCTTCTAAAAATCTTATAACTTACTTAACTATCTTAATAGTATATTGTAAAAAAAAAAAAAAAAAAAAAAAAAAAAAAAAACAATCTTATTATTGGTGTCCTAATTTTCATGAGGTAGACATTGTGATATTGGAAACTAAAGGACTAATTAAAATAATTTATTATAAAATTTAATTTTGATATTTTATCATAATATCATAATATATTAATAATAAATAAGTTTAATAATTTAAGGTAATCTTTCAAATAACTTAATAATATAACAAGTATCACTTCAGATTATACAAATCTAAAACAATTATAAATATCTAATATCTAATTTAATTTACCAAACGTGAAAAAATCCAAAAAAATCTATACATTAAAAATCCACCTTAATCTTATTTGGATTCTTTAATGAACATTATTTTTTGTAATAAAAAAGATTAGTAAATAATTTTAAAAGAAAAAAGTATTCCATTGTCTATCTTTAATGAATTTTGAATCATCAAAAATTCTAATTAGCTCACAAGTACAAATGAAGCCTACATACAAATTAATATGTGATTATATAATCTTATTTTAAAATAAATAAATAAATATATACATAGAAATATAGTAAATTTAAAATAAAATAATCAAAATATAGTTTAATATTTTATACAACAATAATAACAATGTTTACATACTTATAAAATAAAGAAATTGCTAATGCTACTGTCACCACAATCTACTATGTACTCAACATATTTTTTTAGTATTTTTTATTCTATTAATATTTTATTGATATTTCTAAAATATATATGTATTTAGATATATTGATCCATAAAGAAATGGTTATAGTACAATAGCATAAAGGAAATTTTAACTAAATTTTGAAATGGAAATTTTCATGGAATTGTGGTGGTTGTAGCAAAAATTGTAGTGGCACTGGTAATATCCTAAAATGAACATAGTGAAGTTTACAACTTACAAAAATAAATAAATATATAATAATAATAATAATAATAATAATATAATTTTAGTACTTCTTTTATTTTTATAATAAAAAATCCTGTAATAATATGATAGATTCTATTAACTACAAAAATTCTATGTTTTATTTTCAAAATACAACAAGATATAAAGCAAATAACAAAAAGTACATTCATTTAAAATACAGTAAACAACATTTCACTGAAAATAATATTGCTTTTTAATGATTAAATAATAAAATAAAATCATAAAAAGCAATAACCTTTTTATTTCTCTTAAAAAAAAACCTCCAGATTTTATCAAAATTAAAAAGTTCTTTCAAAATTACTGTGTTTTGTAAAACAAATTACAATGTATTCATTATTGCAATGGAATTAAATGTACAGTAAAGATTAGAATTGAAAATAGTGTACGATATGGTCTTTGACACACATAACCTGCATATTTAAAATGTTATGTTAATTGACAGCTTTTGTAAACAATAGTCACACTCAAACAGTCACAGTCTCAGCAAATTGTTCCCTTTGCGCATGTTGCATTAAAACATTGTTCATGAAGTTAATGTTGCTAGCATTTAATAGTATAATAACTGTTGTCATTATGATTATTATTATTATTAGTCAGCAAGTATTACCCATTTTATCAATCACCATTGTGAGTCCAATGTATTTGATTTGTTTCATAAGTTTCTGCACTGCTGGCAACAACCCCCTCTCGTCGTGATTGCGTAAGTTGCTGCAGTTGACAGTAGCACGGCGAGATGAAGCCTTTGTGTACATTCTTCAATGCTCGGGAGCATCGTTTCAGAATTGTTCATAAGTTTTGCAGAATTTCAAGAACTCAGTCCAAATAGGATATATAATCAACAGGTGCAAACTGATGATTTGTTCAGTCAAATCTGAACGAGAGCTTATCATCTCACTGAGCTTGCTCCTCGCTTCCTCTCACTCTTTTATTCATTACGTTGGAAAATGACATCTCAGAATCACATTAGGGTGGTGAATCTGGTGGAATTGCACATCGCCTTTGCTGCATCAGACTCATTTGAAATCAATCGTTGGTGGTTGGTCCCACTCTCAGTTGCGAATGCATAGAATTTGCACATTACCCAGCTAATTTGCGAAACTTTTGTGGCTTTTCAACAAGCCAATCCACAGAAACATCTGCGTGTACTCCAGATTCGGTGATCTCTACGATTTTGCACGATCCTTTGGATTTGCCTCAATGTAGGAGAAATTGCCGCATTGGGTCATTTGTTGAGGTTACGCGAGTACTTCGAAGAGAGTAGAATCTAATCAGTAAAAAAATGTTTTATCTGTTTAGGCTATGATTCAATGCAGAAACCAGGTCGTACATAGGAGGCATAGGGTACATGTAGGATCCACATTCCATTTCCAGCACTTGTCAGGAGTGAACGAAATATAATCAAATTCTACACTTAAGACATTACAACAGATTGCTGGAACTGAACATAGCATAGGAGATCTATTGACCTTGAGAATGACAACGTTGAATTTGTCTACCTTTTCAAAGAGAGGCATGGCAGCTCAACCCCTATTTCCAGGATCTTCAGATTGGTCATTAAGGACCTTCACATTGATATAAAATCTCCATAATTTGACAACACTCCCCTCATTTCGTCATTTTCTAGTAGAGAGTTGAGTACAACATGAAGAACATAGATATGTGAAAGCGCCTCAATAACTACAACATACTACTACGGTCACTGACAACTCAGGGGCATTGTGCAAGACAACGGAGACATGTACCGATTCAAGTGAACGAAGTTGCCAGCGCTACAATACAGCCCAACATCAGCACAAAATACCCGTTGAGGCCTCCACTTTCGTGATTGGAGACCTCGACGGATGACTGCCAAAAATAGGCGGTAATTCATTGGGTGACTACAAACAACCACACAACCACTAACCTCTCGTCTCAAACTCCAACAGTGATCGTCTACAGTATGGTATTCTTTTGTAAGAGTAACTAGGTCAATTCTCCGAGAATTTTACGTCAAATTATCATGAGCGGGTTCTCCTGAATGTCATATTAGGCACTGACCTTTCAAACTAAAACAGGTAGGATCTTCGCAACATGTTCCAAAGGAATGCTGTCGGCAGTGTTCCGTCTCAATACTGGCTGGTTGTCTTCATTCAGCGGTAAAACGACCACCTGTAAACAAAAATATTGAGTAATTTAGATATGGCCGTAGAGCAGCTACACAAGCCAAAAAATATTGCACATGAAAAATCTGATGAACAAGATTGACAAATCCACTATGTGTTCAATACAATTCTCTTCCTCGACCATATTCAAACACTAAATTAAGAGTGTTACCTGTAACTTACCCAATGAATTTTCAGATTAGAAGTTGTGTCAAAATAATTACCTTGCCACCTTTTTCAAGTGCCCAACCATTGTTGTTAACCTGATGCTCCAAAACCTTATCCAAAGAAAGTCCTTCCACATTAATAGCCTGCATAATTGTGAAAAAATCAGTAGCGGCCTTACAAGATAAATAACTGCAGTTACTCTCATGACAAATACAACCTTTCCAGGCTCTAATCATGAAGATCGTGGCGCAAAATCCCCTTCCTACTCACCTCAGCAAAAAGTGTTCGAGGCAAACGCTGATAAGTGATAGAAAGCACGTGTATAGCGTATCCCTGAATGGCTTGCTCAAATCCTGAAATTGAAAGAGCAGTCAAACTTCATCAAAACAGAGTAAGTTGAATTTAACATCCAGTTCATCCCCCCCCCTCCCCCACCCCCCCACGCAACCTTCTCACGTACCCAGCACAAAGGAAAAACAGCTTAAATTTTGTCGAGGAGCACATACAGGAACAGGATCTGGTAATACAATGTGCATATCTTACCAGGAACTACTTCAAGAATATCTCTATTCCTGTTGGCTTCGTCCCAGAACTCCCGGAATCGAGAGGTCTGCACAAAAAAATTACCACGCCGCCATAAAATCTTATGAAAACCATTTCGCAGCCCGAGACAAGTCGCTAAATTAATTACAAGCGCCCCTCTCTGAATGAGACCCTTCAGCACCACTATACAAGGAATGAATGCATTCAAACAAAATCTCTATGCTTTGGAAACGAATGTGGAGAAGTTTGATGTGGTGTAGTTCAACACTTCGAAACAGCCCCCAACAACAGGTCCTTCTGACCCGGAGAAAATAAAAAAGATAGTATATCTGTGGTCGAACGCAAACAGACGCGCAGAGGAGGGAGGTAGAAAGCAGGGAAGAGTAGGAAAAACAAAAGAAAAAACAAAATAAAACAAACGAACAAAGAAAAGAAAAAAGGAAAGTTGAAAAACCATACCTCCAAAAAGTGTGCCAGAGTAGCAAGAGTCAAAAAGGTTTCCTCCATTTGCTGAGATATTGGCAGTTAAGAAGTAACAAAAGCGTCATCTACGGAACAGTTGACATGATCACTTCTCTTCGCTAAGCAATCATGAAAAGGACTGAAAAACAACACGAACGAAGGATATTGAGGTGGCCAGAAACTTATTTTAATATAGAATCGTTGTAAAAAATACACCAAAAAGAAAACGGTTGACATACTCGTCAGCAACTGATACAACACTTCTTTAGAAATCGTGAAAAAAAAAGAGGATACAAGTCTTTCTGGAATCAGAAACATGCACAAGCTGAAGTCTGTAGCAGGTAATGCCATTAGTGCCTGCGGATAGAATTCACTGCATTAGCAAAAGGAAGGAACAGCAGTAATTTTGAACGAATTTCATGTTACATGAACAAGAAAGATCTTGCCAACCAGACCGCTGCCTATCAGCTGAATTATCAGAAACAAGCTCAACTGCGTCCATGAAGAACAAATGTAGGACATCACAAAAACGCCATCGACATCAGGCAAGCCAAGCGCAGCCCCAACCTATGAAAACAAATTCATTACTCACCTTCACAAGTATCTTGATTATGATATGCACATTCATGCGAGCTGGTTGAAACTGCAACAACCAGCAGCGAAGTGTTCAGCATCCATTCTTAACACTCTTCTTCAGAGTTTGCTACAGGACCCGTGAAAGCGTTCGCGTATGCCGGACGCATCAATGACTGTAAGGCTCGCACATTAAGCTTACTACAAAAGTCTCTTTCGAAACTAACAATAACAAACACTAGCTCATGCAACTCCTAGGAATTTTCGAAATCATTTCATACAATACTTCAAAGCAAACAGGAAAACACACCGACACAGTTAATCTTGGGAATACTGCTACATGTTTAGAATAACTACGACGCTCCCTACCCAAAATAATTCAGCAATCAGTAAGAAGAATCTGATCTTACTGCCACCAGAACGCTCGCAAATAACGTCCATACATTGTATCCGAAAGAATTCCTAACTCGTCTCGACAATTCCATGGAAGGCACTGATGCCGGAATCTTTCATGATGAATTATGATGAGCAAAAGAAATATGACAAGTCTCCACAAAACGGACGAAACTGAAGCCAAAGAATGTTACGATGCAAGTTGGAAATTGCGAAAAGGAGAGGAGGGAAAGACCTGGTAAAGACGAAGAAGGCACAGGTTGCAATCTAGGCTGTAAGTTTGGGTCGCAACCTACAGTAACACAAGAGAATACACATTCAGCAACCTTTACGGTAGGGAATTCAGGGTCGTTGAATCTTAAGCTCCCGTGACTATTGCTGGACGAAATCAATATCATGTGATGGTTGTAAAGTTGGGGGTCCAATAACTCCAGAAGAACCTCTTTCATCACCTTCTGAACATCTACTCGTGATAGGAATATCGTCACAACCAGCATCCAACATATGTAGAAGAAAACTCTTAACGACGCAGACCAACTTTGGCACCTCTCCGAAACTGTGATGTGTGGGAAAGTAGTCATTTCCACAAAGCCAAAGAAAATCATAGTGCAGAATCGAAATCTGGAAGGGATAACACACTCACCTGCTCTTCAACATAGCTCTCCAAATCCGGAAGAATGTCAGGATTGTAAGGGTTCAGAGCAACCAGCTGCTCAATAGTGAAGATTTGCTGCGGCGCTTGAGCTCCTGGCATTGGGCCCATCTGTGCCCTTCTCTAGCTCGACGGTCGATAGATTTTCACAGAAGGTGAAGGAAATCATACAATTCACGCGCAAGACAAAGGAAGGGAGGATTGCAACAACAACTACAAGCAGGGACATGGAGCTCGAAACCCTAAAATATCTGAGGCATTGCAATCAGGGTGTGAAACACGGGTATTTGTATCTAATACCTCCCCTGATATCAATACCGAGTCCTAAAAGTCCGGGTATTTCTCCCAGTGCAGCAAATACGGGTAACAAATACGGGTAACAAGGTATATGGATATAAAAGTGTTGGAACACGTGTTGAACAGCATAGCTTCACACACACAAGATTATGAAATGCTTTTTGAAAACTAAAACTAAAAGAAAGTGAATAAATATTAGCAAGAGATAAAAATGAAATACAATAAAATAAAATAAAATGCTTACAATTTGTGCCTTCTTGAATAGTTAAATATACTGTAAGTGTGATTGATTAGATAAGATAAATATAAATATTGAAAAATACATTCATTGTTTAATTTTTTTCTTCTTTTTTTTTAACAGAAGTAAAGAATTTCTTTACTGCAAATAAGAATATAAATACAAACTTGCAAACCAAGGCTGATCCACACTAGGTGCAATTATCACAAAACCTTACTATACTCAACACTAGGACTTACCAGTCTCCAAAGTGGGGTTGGTGAGGCTCATGATGCTACAACCTCATTTGCACACCATTGGCACCAAAAGGTTTTTTTAATAGAATATAGGTTTGGTTAGGCGCCTGCTTGATCCTCACATTTGTTGATGCCCATGCAATCCTTCCATAGTTGACTGGGCTAAGCCACATTATATTAAACATCTTCTCTTAGTGCCAATGCTGTCCATTGAATGCTGTGCCATTTCATTTGATTCAAATATTCTATACAATGATTCCTCACTATTATTCATTGGTGACTCACTCCTTGGTAACAATGTGAGTAAAAATTCCTTGCTTTCATGTTAAACTCAAAGTATGATTATTGTGGCATTGGAAAATGGTTGTGTTTGCTCAACCATGCCATACATTGGAGACAACGGACCTATGTCAAACAAGCCACAGCAGGCTGGCTTCCTTCCTTTCTTGTTGTTGGTCCCACACATTGAGCCAACACAATTTAAATGACATTGGTAATATCCCTGTCCATTTAGTTTCTACCACAGCAAATACAACATCCCAATGTTGTAGAGTTTGTTGAGTTAGATGTATTGTATAATATTAAATTAAATTGTTATTTGCCCAATCAAACCTGCTTGGATTCTGTGAAATTTGATCTACTCTCCAATAGAAGATGTACCCTGTGTTTATGTTATCCTTTCTTCACCTTCTCTACTTGAACTTTGTAGGTAGTGCCTCTCATTGACATTCTTATGACCATGTCACTAGCTGTAGTATTATTCCATGTTGCTAGTTCTGTGGCTATCACATGTTCCAGATGTGGTGTAGTCTCCCACACACGGTACATCTGCATTGTAGTTGGCATTAAAAATTGCACAGACTCTTTTGTTGGAGTACAGTCTATACTTATCTGAAAGTCAAAATACAAGAGTCTTCAACCTCCCTGTATGTACCCACCCACTCACCCACCTCATAATTTTTAGGGCTAGAATTTAACAATCTGTGCCATGTTCTGTGTAAGAGGCAGTAAGCAACCTCCCAGACCCTTGTTTCACTTGGAGCAAGGTTAAACTTAGTTTTGGCTTCTTTAGCATTGAAAAATTTGTCTCCATTCCAAAGAACTTTGTACACCCACATACCAACTCTATATAATTAAGAGGCTCTAAATTTAAAGAACTCAGAGCCAGTCATTGAGACAGTTGGACAATGCCATAGGTTGCAACTTAGGAGCTCATCAATGTTCTTTGTAGGTACATAGATGAAATCAGGGAAGAGTTTTTTTCTAAGTTGCAGCTATTCTAATCTACACCATTGATTCATGTTGGTTTTGGTGGATTGGTAAGTTAAAATAGCCAAAATTGGGGGCCATCTCCCTCTTTAGTAAAGTTGGAAGTGTCCAATTTTATATCCTAAGAGAAGTTGTAGGTTGGAGTGGCCATGTTCTAATACCTTAATGATCCACTTAACCATGAGCGTCATTATAACATCTTTTAGATGTATAAGATGTATACCACGTTTAATTCTAAGTTGACAATATTGCAACCATGCAACTTTTGTTCTAGACCTTTCTATGGTACTTGAAACAAGTCATGCACCCAAAGCTGTCTTAATTTTTAATAAATCCTTCTTTGTGCCTCTTCACACAAAAATAAAGAAAAAATAAAGAAAATAATAATATGTTATTAACTATGTAACTTCTATTTGTTGCATTAATTTGTGTTATACACCAATAAAAAAGCTTCTTTTTAATACTAGCTTTCAAGAACATCTTGAGATTTCAGGAACAAATCAAAAGGAGAGCCAAGTAGTTTACTTATCATATCATGTTCATTCCAAATAATTCTCAGTTGATCAATCCATTAAGGACTTGGAATATTATTAGGTGCTTTTCAATAGCCACATAACTTGAACCAATTAATATTGAATCCAAAAGGAATCTAAGAAAGAAATAAGATTGAGTGTGGAGTGATGAAGGATGTGTTGTCTATATATTGGACCATATTTTGTTGTCTACTTCATATAGGCAATTAAATACCATGGAGCCTTTCTACCTCTTTTTTTACATACCATTACATTGAAAGCTTCTACTATAATAAAAAATAAATAAAGAGTAAGCAAATATCCTTATTGTACTTATCTTTGAACTGCAAATAAAAAAGAAGATGAACTATTTACTTTAATATATGATGTAGCTTTGTAGAAGAGTAATTATACCATGTTAATAAACTCATGTGGCAATTTAAAGGCTTCCATAGCTAAAAACATGAATTTCCAATCCATTGTGTTGTATACTTTTGAAAAACCTAGTTTAAGAAATAAAAGTCGTTGTCTAGATTTCTTTGCCTATGTGATTATCTCTTGAAATAGAAGCAAATTATTTGAAATATATTTCATATGAAGAAAGACTAATTGATATAAATTTCTAATTTTAAATAATATTAATTACAGATAAAATTAAAAAGCCTTGGCATATATCTTATATTCAATATTAAGTAGAATTATTGGCCTCAAATTAATGTATTGTTATCTTTGCCTTCTTTTAAGTAGCAAAATAATTAGTCATATTGTAATCTCTTTGAATAAATAGCCAAATAATAATTTTTTTACATCACTTGTAAATATTCTAAATTGAATAAATTTCAAAATAAAAAGTAGAACTTTAAAATTATTCCATCAAGATTGGGTGCTTTACTTGGTTGTATTACATGTATAGCCTAGATAAGCTCTCACAAATCTAAGAGCCATTGTAGTGTAGATTGCATTTGTTTTGTTATTTTGAATGACAGTTTCTTAATAAACTACATGTATGTTCTTTCACTCATTGGAGAAGGCACCCTTATTTTATATAGCTTAGCATAAAACTCCATACATATAAAGGAAATTGTAGCCTAGATATAGTGGATTTAATTATAGATGCCCTCTAATGCTGAGATATGTGAAGCAACCAAATGGACTTAGTATATGTTGAAGAATTTTTTTAAGCCTTTGTTGCCAAATCGTTTCCACTTAAACCTGATCTTAAGTCTTTGCTTGAATGTTTTATTTTTTTTCAAAACTTATAATTTGTTTGCATACATGACTAACCGTGATTGTAATTCAAGATTTCTTATGTCCACTTGTATTATGGATACTATCACGGTTCTCTCTTGACAAAGCCTATTTTTTTCTAGTCATGAAGTAATTGCTTGATATATACAAAGTTTTTTATAAAACTTGATGCACCTTTGAATCTTGCTAAAAAAATGCAAGTTGGTATAGGATGCCCAAATTTGGCAAATTCTTATTTGAACTTCAAATAACTTTAAAAAATTATGTATTCATGATGTATACTAAGGACCATCTCTTTTTAATCTATAGCTTTGTTTGATATCAAAATAGTTGGTGGTTGAAGTGAATATTGTTGCCAATTATCTTGTATTCTTTACTTATGATAGAGGTGGTCATTTATCAAGCTTGTATAGATTTGTCAAGGATAAAAACTTGATGAAAGAAAATAAAAAAATGAGATTTTTTCAAAGAAATATGACAAAATAGAAATAAAGAAGTATGTATATTAAAAAGAAATTATATTTCTTTTACTTGTCGATTAATTCTTTGATAATCCTCCCCTTCATGATTATCACTCATAATCTTTCATTTGTCTTTACGAAATCAATACTGCCTTAAATTATAACTCACATATTTGTAATCCTAAAACTGGTTCTTCTCACGTTTTCATTCAACATATAATTCCATCTCCCATACAATCAATTTCTAACATTTCATATTGTTATCATTTCCTCAGTAGCGGCGCCAAAATGTTATTCTTGTTGTGTTCAAGCTTCAATATACCAAAGCAATTGAACTAATAGAGGTGGGTTCGAACATGGGGAAAGACTGGTTATATGAATTGGGTTTGTTAGTGTCACAATTGACTGTACTCGAGCTATCTGAAATCAATTATCAAACTACAAAATACCAAGGCTTACTACTTTCGTCTTAATTCAACATATAATCCATTCTATGACTATCAATTCAACAATACTTCCATATTCTTATGCGTTCATCTCCCACTTATTCTCTTTGTAGTTTATATATATTCAATTACTAATCTTCAGCTTACCTATTGTATTCAGTTTCTCAATTCATCACATAGCATTCAATATCTCAGCTTACGACTTTCACAGTCTGGCATTCCAAACTAACTTCTCAGTATTCAAAAACTATCCATTACTCGCCAACAATAAAAAAAACAAAAAGAGGTAGCACCAAGCTTACCCTGGCTTATGAATCTCATAGTTTGGCTCCAATATCTCATTCTTCAACTTCTTTATCCTATCAAAAAGATGATCCATCGGCCAGCGGATTCCAAAGGTTATGACTCTTTGAATTCTTAACCACTTATTCCACTAACAACCTACTGTTACCAATTAAACTGCCTAAGTATAAGTCTAATTCTCAAGGTTGTCAATAACCAACTAATAACTTACCACAAAATTTATTTGCCTGTTCTACAAC